TGGAATACCAGATGCACTCAAGGACTGAGCAGAGGGGCCCTGGCTGGTTCGAGGGGTTATGGTTTCAGTTAGAAAGTTTCCTCACTCCCTTTTTCCTCTGACAGGAGGCTGGATGCCTCTTCGTGGGTGAAAAGGAAGGGACCAGGCCCAGCTCCCTCTGCTCTCTGCTGGGGGGTCAGCTGCTCCTCTCTCCCACTGCACTAGTGCAGGGATCAGCTAATTCTCAAAATAGGTCGGCAGCCGTGCTCTGCCACCCCAGCCAAGCCCCAGCCTGGCATGGCCCGTGGCTGCTGGAGGGGCCCTAATTATAGCTGAGTCCACCATGCCCCCTCCCCCCCGACACACACCACCACCAGGCAGCTGGGACAGTCTCTGGTCGGAAGGAGGGAGCGCCTCACTTGGGTGCGAGGAGAGTCCCCTGGGAGACTGAGGGGCAGTGTGGAGGGAGGCCGCTTCATTGGGAAACTGCTGACCGTGGGGTGGCCGCTCTGCTTCTGCCTCTGTGCCCTCTGGCGTAGAAGCCGATGGGCCCTGGGCCAGCCAGAAGGGTGTGACAGTGTGGGCTTTGGCCCAGGGACAGCTTTCCAGAAAGGTAATGTAAATGCCCTCCCTCTCTTTCCACAGCTCTCCCTCACCCCACCCTGCTCCTTATCCTGGACTCCCAGGGAGTGGCTGGTGATTCAGGCCCAGGGGCCTGGGAGAGAACATCTGGGCCTGGGCGGTGGTGGGAGGGCTTGCCTGTCTCAGCTCTTTTGCTCCCCACCCCCACCTCACTCTGAGAAGCCCCTTCTCTTTATCCCTTTGGCTTTGAAAATGCTTGGGGAGGAGAACAAACCATCTGTGTTCCCAGGGTCAGGAGAAGGGGATGGGGTGAGAGAAGGGGACGGAGCGAGGAGAAGGGGACAGGACGGGGCCAGGAGAAGGGGACAGGAGAAGACGGCAGGTGACAGGTGGGGGACTGTGGGGGAGGGTGGACCGCGGGCGGGTTGCTCTCACAGTGACGTGGGGAGGGTGGGCTTGTTAAATGGACAACGACTGTCCCGGGAGCAGCTTCCTGGCGGTCCTCTCCGGAAATCCTCACACGGGAAGGCGCGTGGCTTACAGTGTGGGACCCGTAGTCACCTGGACTCAGATGGCTCTGGCCAAGTGCGTTTTGCCTGGTCACCATGGTTGGTCCCCAAATTAGGGGGTGCTTGCCTCACCTTTCTGAGAGGCTGCAGAGATACCGAATGTGCTCCTGGGAGCACCCAGTGCAGGGTTAGCCTCCAGTCGGGACTGTCCTGCTCCTTCCGGAAACTCCCCCACCCTCCCCCACAGTCCTCCGCCTGTCACCTGTTGCCTTCTCCCCATCCCCTCCTCCTAACCCCGGGGACACCAGGCCATGTCCCCATGCCCATGTCCTGAGAGGGAGGCTGAGTCCTCAGCGTCAAAGGATCTGCTTCCCAGTGCAGGTGAACCGGCTGCCCCGGGAGACACTGCTGTGTGCCACTCTCTATGCTCTGCCCACCCCGCCACCGGGGAGCTCCTCCGAGGCCGGGAAGCAGCGGCGGGTGCCTGAGGCCCTGGGCTGGGTCACTACCCCTCTCTTCAACTTCAGGCAGTAAGTGAGCCCCAGGGCGTGGCTTCTTGGCCTTGGAAGGAAAGGAGGAGAGCAGACAGGGACCTGGCTGTCACACTGGCCATTGCCTGTTGGGGGTGTTGGCCATGAGGGGCTCACGGGTAGAGTCCAGAGGGTCCCAGTCCTGGTGGGAAGGACCGAGGCCCCGGACGAGTGACCGGACGAGTGACCAGCTACTGGGCGGGACTGGTGGCACAGGACTGGTGGGGAGGGGCATGGAAATGCAATGCTTGGCTCACATGCCTTGTCCTTGAAGGACCTTAAAGGTCATCTTAGTTCAGAGCTCTCCCTCAGGAAGGCATCCCTGCCCCCAGGTCACCCATACCAGGGTGTGGAGAGCTCCGAAAGGCCTCCTGGGAGGGGGCACTCTCCCGGGACTTGGAAGAAAAAAAAGGCTGAGGTGTAGGGGGAGAATGAGAGAGGATTTGGGTCGTGGCTTCAAGTCGAAAAGGCTGATCTTTGGAAGGGAGGGCAGGAGGAAAACCATGTCCTTAGCCACTGGGTTTGTTGGCTCATCCCCGCTTCCATCCTCCTCAGTGTCCTGACCTGTGGCCGGAAGCTCCTGGGCTTATGGCCAGCAACGCAGGAAAACTCCAGCGCCCGTTGGAGCACTCCGAACTTCCACCAGCCCGACAGCGTCATCCTGCAGGTGAGAGCCGGCCCGCCCACAGCACCGCACGAGAGCCAGCTCCAAGTCTCCCTTGCGTTTGGGCGGGATGGAGGAGAAAGTGCTGGGACTTTGGGCACGGGATGGTGATGTGGCTGAGCAGCTGGATGAATGCGGTTAGGCGCGGGGTGGGAGGGTGAGTTCTATGGAATCTGTGTCCCATCTCCTGGAGGTTAACGTTGATTTGAAGGAGCCTGAAGGCAGGGTCTGAGACCCTCCCACCCACGCTCACTTCTTGGAGTCTCTTGTATTGAACCCTAAGTGTGGTAAAGCCTTAGCTGTCCCCTCTTGGGGCTGAGGGAAGCCCTCCCGGCAGCAGTCACTGAGTGCTCTGGCGGCCCACAGACTCATGGGGGCAGGAGGAGCTGGTCAGGACCCAGGTCTGGTTCCTAGTTCCCGGCTCCCCCTCTGTGGTCATGAGATACCAAAGTGGGCGTGAACGAGATAGAATGGCAAGGAATGGAAGCTTCCGGAGGCGGGCGTTCTGTCTGTCTTATTTACTCCTTCATGCCCAGGGCATAGGACAACGCCTGGCACCTAGCAGGGTTCAGTAAACATTTGCTGAATGAGGGGACATAGAGCTCTATTGAGAACTGACTCACTCAGCTCCAGCATCCATTTAGGAGGACAATCATCTGGCCGCATAGAGCAGGGACCCAGGATCCCAGGGCCCCAGGCTGGAGCGTGGGTCAGGCCCTCCCCTCCAATGTGTCTGACTCTTGTCAGGCATCAGTGCCCTCCAGGGCCTCACGGAAGCTCCAACCTCGGCTTCGGCTTCAAGGTTCCTAGTGGCTCATCCTGGGAACACTTCTGAGATCTGGCCTGAGGCTGGCCCCTCACCTAGATGCATCTCAGGCCAGCCTTTCCTCCCCTGCCCGTTTTTATTTCTCTCTTCATTTCCTTCTTTTATTTTGCTGGAAGTCACAGCTGAAAGGGACTTGAGAGAGCACCACCTTGAACGGGGTTATTTTATAAACAAAGACCCTGAGGGTGAGTGAGCGAGGGAGGGAGGGAGGGAGGGAGGCAGGACACTGGCGTGTGAGAGAGGAGCTGGAGACCCGAGGAGGCACCCGCTCTCACCTGCCTCTTCTCTCTCCTTGCTTCTCTGCTGCCGCCCCCCAGATCGACTTCCCCACCTCGGCCTTTGACATCAAGTTCACCAGCCCCTCTGGAGACAAGTTCAGCCCCTGCTATGAGTTTGGCAGCCTCCGGGAGGAAGACCAGCGCGCGCTTAAAAACATCATGCAGAAGGAGTGCCTGTACTGGTGAGGCCCAGGGCATCCCCACATGTGGCACAGGCCTCCCCCAAGTCTGTCACGTCCTGTCTGACCTCTCGCCTCCCAGCTCCATGTCCTTGTCCTGCTTTGGGAGTAGAGGTGGGATAGGGTAGGCATTACCACCTGGGCAGGAAGTGGTGGGAGAAGGTTCTGCTGAGGGCAGCCCCAGGCCTTTTTGACTCTAGGCAAAGTGGAGCGGTCAGGATCAGGGTCAGGAAGGTAGAAATGCCCATCCCCACGCTGGGAAGTTGGCCCGGACTCAGCTTGCCGTGAGGACCGGAGCTCTGCCCCACGCTGCAGATAAGCTGTCTACTGCATACTGTGACCGCCCCCCGGCCCCCACCTCCTGTCCCTGCGGTACCCACAGTCTGGCCCCGTCACTTTCCAAAAGGGATCAGGTGTCACGGCAAACTGGCAGCTCTCAGGGGGAAGCGGGTCCAAGCTGATCTCATCCTTGGGCCACTTCTCTCACCAGGATCAGAGAAGGGGGTGGAGGAATCAGGACCGGGAGGAGCTGGTGGGATGCCGGCCCTCTCTGTACCTCTCCGGCTCCTGCACTGCCCTGTGCATGTTGTGGGAGGGGAAACAGACAGAGACCGGATCACCTCTCTCCTTCCTGTCCACCCCCCACCCACCCTGCTCCCCGCTCCCCAGTGCAGCCAGACTAGCTGAGTGGCTGCAGACCTCCCCTCCCCCACTCCTCTGCTGGACCCCTGGCTTCATTAGTCCCTCAGCTCCCTTCTCCCATTAGACACCTGATCTCAGGCAAGACCTAATTAGCTGTCGGTCCCATAAAGCCTCCAGCTGGCCCCAGAAAGCCCCAGGATGCCTCTGAGCTGCCCAAACCCTGCCATGTGGGGACCACCGCCCTCTGGCGGCTCTCCTTGAGAGTGGCACCCTACAGGGCATCCTTAGGAGGAGGAGCACATTCCCTGCCATTGGCCCTGCGTTCAGCCTCCGGTCTGAGATGTCCAGGGTCAGCAGCCAAGGGGAGGTTTGGGCCCCGGTTCCCTTACACATTGCAGTCACCTAGGCATCTTTTAAAAATGCCAACGTCACTTCCCCAGGCATTCCGAGCGCATTGGTAAGGGCCGTGGCCCGGGCATGCGGGTTTCACAAAGCTCCTCGGTGACTCTCATTGGCCGCAGAGTCGGGGAAGCGCAGCGTTGGAGAGTGTAGGGCCCTACCCTCGGCTGACTGTTCTCTCTCACCTCCCCCTGCTCCCCGCACCCCCAGGCTCGCTGATGCTGACAAGAAGCGCCTGTGGGAGAAGCGATATTATTGCCACTCGGAGGTGAGCTCACTTCCCCTGGTGCTGGCCAGCGCCCCCAGCTGGGAGTGGGCTTGTCTGCCCGACATCTATGCCCTCCTGAAGCAGTGGACCCACATGAACCACCAGGATGCCCTGGGGCTCCTGCATGCCACGTGAGTTGTAAACCCGCCCCCACTGCCCTGAGCCAGCCCTGGAGAAAGTGGCAAAGTGGGGCTGAAATTCAGGGCTCCCCCATTCTCCTTTTCCGCTTTGTCTTTGCCTCATTTTCCCCCAATGTTATGGTAAGAACATTTCTCAAACACATAACAAAAATGAACACGTTACAGTGAACATCCATCTACCCACCTGGATTCTAACCACTCGCCTTTATTCTATCTGCTATATTGTATGTATAGCCATCCATATAGCCATCCATCTATCAGTCCATCTTAATTTTTATATTTTGATGGAAATTGCAGGCATCATAATACTCTCCTCAATCTTTTAGCATGAATATCACTGACCAGCTCAATGTTGGTTTCTTTCTTTTGAGGGAGAATTTACACGTAAGGGGCTGCCCCAGCCTCACGTGCACAGTTGCTGAGTTTGGTCGAGTGCACGTACCCATGCGGCCCAGACCTTTGCATTTTGTTCCACTTTAACAGTCCCCTCTTCCCTCTCCCCTCTGAAGGGATCTCTGGGGCCACAAGGTTCCCAGTCTCAGACCGCTGGACTGCCTCTCTCAGAGGGTACCCAGTGTTCTTGGCTTCTTTCTCACCTTTTTGGAAATCACTCCCTCCTGTCTTGCCTTCAGGACTTTTTGAGGCAATGGCTTTGCTCTGCTAAACTAATTCTGCCAAGGGGTACAGGCTCATATGAAATTCCATGACTGTCATTCACCTGGAAGATCCGCAGTAACGGGTGGTACCAAGACACAGTAGTGCCCAGCTGGTGTGGCTCAGTGGTTGAGCATTGGCCTATGAACCAGGAGGCCACAGTTCGATTCCCGGTCAGGGCACAGGCCGGGCTTGCAGGCTTGATTCCCAGTGTGGAGGCGTGAGGCAGCCGATCAGCGATTCTCTCTCATCATGGATGTTTCTACCTCTCTCTCCCTCTCCCTTCCTCTCTGAAACCAATGAAAACATATATATATTTTTTTAAGAAGACACAGTAATGCTTTAACCCTCACGAGGGCTCTTTGATGGCACAGTGGAGTCGGGAAAAGGTCCCTGGGAGTGGGACTGAGGACTGTGTCCTGTTTTCTTTAAGTCATACCCGGAAGGAGCATGACATCCCTCCTGTTCACCCGGGGCCTGAGTCCGGCTCTGACCGGGGGCAGGGCCATTCTTGAGGTTTCTATCCAGAGAAGGCGCTAAGGATGCTTTTAAGGGCTTTGGCGGAGTCGGGGGGACATTGCCTTGTCTCTGCCCGCGCCTCTGAAGCTCAGGGGTGAGGGTGCTGGCCCGCTGCGGTGCCTCGGAGCCTGCGGCTTGGGGGTCAGGCGCTGGGCTCTGCTTCACAGCTTCCCGGACCAGGAGGTGCGGCGCATGGCGGTGCAGTGGATCGGCTCGCTGTCGGACGCCGAGCTGCTCGACTACCTGCCCCAGCTTGTGCAGGTGGGTGGACTGCCTGCCCTCCGGTTCTGAGCCCCCACCCCCGAGCCCCCATGTGGTCCGCATGCTGCCCCTCAGGACCAGGTGGAGATGGTGGTCGGTGTAGGGGACAGGCAGTCCCTGTAGCCTCCTCCTCCCTCCTGAACAGGCCCTGAAGTATGAGTGCTACCTGGACAGCCCCTTGGTGCGCTTCCTCCTGAAACGGGCCGTCTCTGACCTGCGGGTGACTCACTACTTCTTCTGGTAAAACCGCCTGTAAAAGGGGCAGAGATGTGGGTCCTTCCCGTGGGATGTTCTGCTCCCAGGTGCAGGGTGGCAGCCGAGCCTGCTGGGTTCCTGCATGTGGCTTTGGGCCCCTTATGCTCTGGGGGTCTCGGTCCACTGCCCTGTAGCACAGTGAGGACCTTCCCTGGCCCTCCTCCTACCCACATATGGCAAAAAGAAAGCAGAAGCAGCCTGGCCGGTGTGGCTCAATGGTTGATTGTTGATCCGTGAACCAGCAGGTCACGGTTTGACTCCTGATCAGGGCACATGCCCGGGTTGCAGGCTCAATCCCCAATATGGGGTGTACAGGAGACAACCAATCGATGATTCTCTCTCCCTCTCCCTTCCTCTCTGAAATCAATAAAATATTTTTTAAAAATAGAAAGGAGAAACAGATGCTGAGGGACCATAGCTCTACCTAAAGGTCGAGTGGGCCCGGGCTGGGCTACGGTGATGCCTTTGTGCATACAGAGCTGTTTTCCCTCCCAAGCTTGGGGTGGGTTTTCCAGAACTGGAGTGGGTTCTGACTGCCCCCCTTTGCCTCTGATCCCCTGAGTGGCCTGACCCCCACGCCTTTGCCTGCAGGTTGCTGAAGGACGGCCTCAAGGACTCCCAGTTCAGCATCCGTTACCAGTACCTGCTGGCGGCCTTGTTGTGCTGCTGCGGCAAGGGGCTGAGGGAGGAGTTTAACCGCCAGTGCTGGCTCGTCAACACCCTGGCCAAGCTGGCCCAGCAGGTCCGGGAGGCCACGCCATCCGCACGGCAGGTGAGTGGGGCGAGGCTGCTCCTACCATTTCCGGGCCGGGGCTTCTGCAGCCAGTCGTGAACTTCTCAGGCATCCCAACCAGCAGGATGGCACCTGATCCCTGATTTAGGGGACGAAGGACGTGACTGTCCCTGAGGCACAGGCCACACATTGACAGTCATGAGCTGGACAAAGCCCGTGCATATGTTTTGTTTGGCCTGCGAAGTGTCACAATGTTTATCGAATGTTTTGCCTTAAAGGCCACGCACCGGTGTATAAGCTGTTCACTGCACAAGAGCACCCAGGCAGAGGGGGCAGGTGAGGGCTGGGATCCAGTCAGATTTGTTCACTGAGCTGCGAGACACGGCTCAAGGCTGCTGCCACTCAGAGAGGGCACCTTTAGCTGTGTGCACAAATGGGCTGTATTAGGCCAGCAGCGTGCCTGCTGCTAACATTAGAAAACGGAGAGATTATAAAGTCCAAATTGTTAGCTTTTCTTTGTGTGTGTGTGTGTGTGTGTGTGTGTGTGTTTAATTGATTTCAGAGAAGAAGGGAGAGGGAGCTAGAGATAGATAGATAGATAGATAGGGAGAAATATCAATGCTGAGAGAGAATTATCTATCAGCTGCCTCCTGCATGCAACCTGGGCGCCCGGCCGGGAATTGAACCATGACCTCCTGATTCATAGGTCAACGCTCAACCACTGAGATAACACTGGCCGGGCCAAACTGTTAGCTTTTCTTGGCAACAGCCTGAGCAGCCTCTCCCCCGTGACCCGCAGCCTGGCCTCTCAGGGCACTGGGGCCTGCTGTGAGCTGCTCCGTCAGGCAGCCGCTTCCCAGGCTGGGTATGGGAGGGTGGTCTTCCTTCTCCACGGTCTCCCGGAGGTTGTCCATGCTTCTCCGGGGGCTGTTTCATACCAGTTCCTGCTGGGTGCCTGCCTGGGGAGAGGCTGGGTTCTGAGTGGAGCTTAGGGGCCCTCCCCTCACCCCTCCTCCTTTGCCTCCTCCTGTCCCTCTCAGGGAATCCTCCGCACGGGTCTGGAAGAGGTAAAGCAGTTCTTTGCCCTCAATGGCTCCTGCCGCCTGCCCCTCAGCCCCAGTCTGCTGGTTAAGGGCATCGTGCCCAGGGTGAGTGACCAGTGGGTTTGGGGCTCTCGGAGTGGGGAGGGCTCAGTGAGGTGAGGTCCTTGCAGACCTGGTCATTGAGAAAAGTGAGGAAGAAAGGCATATTGGGGTCTCTCTCCCCAACCCTAATGCCTAGGGACTTTTGCCCAACAGCTGTGCCAGGTGGAGGATGGGGCGGGCGCTGGATAAGTGTCCCATGATATTGGGTTGAGGCCGGCTGGGGAAGCTGTCGTCTGTTATTGATGAATGTTCTCTGCTCCTGGCACTGCTCCGAGTGCTTCAGGCCGGTCATCACATTTCATCCTCACGACTCTTATGAAGTCGGGAGCCCCATTTCACAGAGGAGTAAACTGAGGTACAGAGGGAACACATGACTTTCCAGAAGTCACACAGAATGAACCAAAGGGATGAGAGATCAGGGGCTCGAGCTGAGCTCGGAACAAGCTGAGTAGGTTTGGGCAGTCAGGAAGGTGTGGATGGGGATACCAAGGAAATTTGGAAGAAACCATGAGCAGGTGGACCGGCAGCAGCTGGACCCAAGTAGACCAGCCGTTTTCCTTCCTGGGTGTGGACCCCCTGACCTCGCTCCCTCCCCTCTTTACCGTGGCAGGACTGTTCCTACTTCAACTCCAATGCAGTCCCCCTCAAGCTCTCCTTCCAGAATGTGGATCCACTGGGGGAGAACATCAGAGTCATCTTCAAGGTGAGGACTTTCCCTCCGGCCTGGTGGGATGGAGGTGGGAGAGGGGAGGGGAGGAGGGAGCCCACAGGTGGCAGAAGCAGCCCCAGGCCAGTTCTCTTTCTGCTACTCCATGCTATAATTTTATTTTACTTATTTAGTTATTTTTAAAATTGATCTTATTTTTATTTTTTAAATCTATTGTTGAAAGTATTACATAGATCCTCCTTCCCCCCCATTAAGCTCTTCCAGCCTGCTCCTGTCCCCCCCCCATGCTGTTATCTATACTAATAAAAGGGTAATATGCTAATTAGACTAGATAGACCTGATAGACCGGACGTCTTCCTGACGTCCTCCTGGACAAAGCCACAGTGGCTGCAAGGGCCGAGGAGGAGGGCAGGCAGCTGCAGTGGCTGCGAGGGCCAAGGAGGGCCGGCCAGCAGTGGCAGCAGCAGCTGGTGATGGGGATGGTGTCTTCCCCTGATCGGTCTGGTCACCTCCCGCAGAGGGAGGCCAGACTGCAGCTTAGGCTGTCAATAGGACATCCCCTGAGGACTCCCAGACTGTGAGAGGGGGCAGGCTGGGCTGAGGGACCTCCCTCCAGTGCACCGGGCCTCTAGTATACACACACACACACACACACATATATCCTATCTAAGAATAGACAAACATGGTAATTGACCATACGTTCGCTGTGCCTCCCATCGGCTAATCAGCATGATATGCAAATTAACCACCAACAAAGATGGTGGCTAATTTGCATACTGCAGGCAGATCCCGCTGCGCCGCCCTGCCTGGGGCTGGCCACAGCACGATCCCCAGCCGCTGCCCGCCCCAGCGTGGGATCCTGGCCTGCTGTGTGTGGGGTGGGGCAGGCGGGGCAGGCGACAGCGAGATCCCCAGCTGCTGCCCACCCCAGCCCGGGATCCGGGCCTGCTGTGTGCAGCCCAGGCAGGCAGCAGCGCGATCCCGGGCCTGCCGTGTGTGGGGTGGGATGGGCGGCAGCACAATCTGACTGGCCGCCCGACCCAGCGCAGGATCCGGGCCTGCCATCTACGACCAGGGGAGGTGGGGCAGACACCGTGGGATTGGTGTGCCATCTGCCACCAGGGGAGGGGGCCTAAGCCAGCAGGTGGTTATCTCCCGAGGGGTCCCAGACTGTGAGAGGGCACAGGTTTGGCTGAGGGACCCCCCACCCCGCCGCCAGTGCACAAATTATTGTGCACCGGGCTTCTAGTCAATATAGAAAGCAGATATTTATTTATTCATTGATTTATAAACGTGATGCCTGTATGTAGACAATCTTAGGGATGGACAAAAGTAGGCTTACAGTAGTGAGTACACGAAACAGTTTATTCTTGTATTATTATTATTATTATTATTATTATTTAATTCTATCATTTTCCATACAAACAACTATAAACCTACTTTTGCCCATATATATATAGATAAGTAGGTAGATAGATAGATAGAATGTTTGTGTGTAAGTTCTGAATCCAAGGTATAAACATTCAAGTTTT